GGAGCAGCAGAGCCAGGAGTACAAGATCCTGCTGGACGTGAAGACGCGGCTGGAGCAGGAGATCGCCACCTACCGCCGCCTGCTGGAGGGCGAGGACGCCCAGTGAGTGGGGTCTGGGGGCCGCTGGTGTGGGCCAGGGGCTCTCAGACCCACACCTGACCACCTCTTTCTGTTCTTCTCCCGCAGCCTGACTCAGTACAAGCCCAAAGAACGTAAGGACCTCGGGGCTGAGGGCCAGGGGAGCGCTGGGCAGGAAACTCGCCTGTGGTCTGGGGTGGGGGGTCCCCAAGGGGTTCCGGGGAGTGATGCTGGTCCTCACGGGCGGGATGGATCACTAGGGCTGGGGCGACGCGCAGCCTAAGGACAGAGGGAGAGGTGGTCCTGATGAGGTGGGCAGGGCATGGGCCTCTGTGGGAGACGTGGTCCCGGCCCCCAACACTCACCTACTGAGAAGGGGACACCACCCATGGCTGGTGCACTTGGGACCCTGCAGGTGGAGGACCAGCCCTGTCTTGGGTTCCCGCTGGGAGGAGATGGGCCATGGTCCTTGACCTCCAGATCCCTGGGGTTCCTCGTCAAATGGGGCTGAAGGGACCTGGTTTCACCGTGAGATCTGGGCTGGCAGGGGAGAGGAGCGTGGTCCGGGCCCTGGGGACTGCACAGGGATCCACTCCGGGCAAGGGGACCCATGCGGGACACCAGCGGGCTGAGACACAGGGGCCAAGGGAAGGCAGGAGGGGCGTGTGTGGCCAACCCTGGGGTCCCCTCTGTCCCTCCTGCAGCTGTGACCACCCGCCAGGTGCGTACCATCGTGGAAGAGGTGCAGGATGGCAAGGTCATCTCCTCCCGGGAGCAGGTGCACCAGACCACGCGCTGAGGCCGGGCTTCTCCCACTGGCCCCGCCCCTGAGGCAGGGATGCAGCCCCAGCCCCCTGTCCCGCGGCCTCTGTGGACCCCACCCCGGCATCCGTCCCTTCCCCATGCCCCCCACCCGGCACAATAAAGCTTATTGGCTCAGATGCAAAATGTGTGTTGTTCCCGGCCACCGAGCAGGGAAGGAAGGCGGGGCTGGTCTGTGGACGCCCACTGTGGTCCACGTGGGGGTCAGGGCTGCTTTAGACAAGGTGAAGAGGACGGGAGAGCTGTGGGGTCTCTGGGCTTCCCCCCATGGGGACACAATGTTCGGTGTCCCGGGGCCTCCCCTAGTCCTAGAAGCCGCTCCACAACTAGGCATCCTGAGGTCCCTTCCCTCCCCACGATGCCTGATTTCTCTTCCATACATGGACAGGAAGAGCCGGGGCGCCAGCCTGAATCCCAGGGGTGACTCATCCTGTAGCTGCCCCTCCCCAGGCAGGAGGAGGGGCCGGTGGGGGAGGCTGTCTGAGAAGTGGGGTCCCGGCTTCTGTGCTGGTCCCAGGAAACCAAGTGGGGCTCTGGGGAGGTCGGTGCTCCTGGGAGAAAGGGGGCCTCTCAGGACTGCCGCTGAAATGGTTGGGGGGGCTGTGCCTGGGGCAGTGGTCCTCGGGCTCCCTTGGGCCCCTAGCTGGGTAGGCACGGCGTGGGGAACACGGTGTGACGTGAATCCGGGCGAGGGGCAGAGGCGCTGTCTCTGTCGACGGGAGCAGCATTCCGGGTTCATTCTGGTGCTAGGGTTAGAGTTGGGGTTGGGGGTTAGGTTTAGGGCTATGCATGATGGGTGTGTAGAGTTAGGGGTCCTGTTAGGATTAGGGTTAGGGTTAGGGTCAGTCTGGATGTTAGGGTCAGGGGCTAAGGGTAGAGTTAGGGGTTAGGTGTTAGGTGTCGGGTTAAGTGTTAGGCTTAGTGTTAGGGTTAGGGTTCGGGGTAATGCTTAGGGCTAGGGACAGGGTTAGGGTTCAGGGCTGAGGTTTTAGGGTCCGGTTAAGGGGTTATGGGTCACGGGTAGGGTCAGGCTTAGGCTTTCAGTTAGTGCTTGGCAGCTGTGGGTGATGAGTCAGGGAGGAGCCCAGGCCTGGCTTTTTCCTTCGAGTAAATCCGGAAGCCTCCAGGGCGGCTGTCCTTTCTTCCTGCCCATCTCTCTGGGACCTGGGCAGGAGGGTTCAGAAGAGGGGTGTTTTCGCCCCAGTGCACTGCAAGTCTGAGGTGTTGCCATTCCGCATTAGGCCCCACTGGGCTTTTTCCCGAGGCCTGGAGGTGGTGTGGGGTGAAAGCAGGGCTGCAGCGAGCAGCGGGAACTCCAGGCCTCGAGCATGGGGACCTGGGCCCAGCGGAGGCCGACATGAGCCTTGGGAACGCGGGCGAGGGTCCCGCCTCGGGGGGCTCAGTCATTCTCGGGTCCTGGAAGCTGCAGGATGAAACTGGGGTGATGGGAGCCCCCTGCCTGCGCCACAGGGACTCAGGCACTGCCGCAGAGTCCCTCAGCTGCTGGAACTGTTGCATGGGGACAGGGGAGAGGAGGGAGTCTGCCCGACCGGCAGAACCGGCCCTGAGGCGATGAGCTCACTGCTGGGAACTGCAGGCCGGAAGTGAGAGGTCGGGAGAGGAGCCTTGCGGAGCGGAGGGGACACTGAGGCTCTGTGGAACGGCGACTCACCGTCGTCCCTCAGCCTGGGTGACGGGGTGGAGCCGGTGGGGTGGACCCCACGAGGCGCCAGCTCCTGTCCGCCCTGCGCTGCTCTCTGGCACTGTTGTTGTCCACCACCCTGAAGGGGTCCCCAGGCTGGGACTCAGGATGGGGACCCAGCAGGTGGACCCCATGGACAGGCTCACCACTCACCTGCACCCGTCGGCCTGGCCAGAGCTGTGATGGCCTCGAAGCCCTGTCACCCCTGTCCTGTGAGGGACACACACGGATCCCCAGGGCAGGTGCTGGGCTGGCCAGCAGTGACCACTCTGGGATGCTCCTGCTACCTGCTGACCCCCTGGCAGGGTGATGCAGTGCATGTCCTCTGCATGGCTCTGGGTCTGGGTCACCCTGAGTTCAGGAGGAGGAGGAGGAGCAGGAGGAGGAGGAGGAGGAGGGGAGGATGCAGGCCTTGGCCCAGGGCACTCAGTGGACCATGCACTGGCACTGTTCACCCCCGACCGGGCCCCGTTTCCCCGCGGTCCCTGTGCCCCTTCATGGCCTGGCCAGGCGCAGCAGGGTCCTGCGGAGCAGCTCCCCTCCAGAGTCGGCTTCCCTGCCTCGTCCCTGAAGCTGAGAGCCTGGCCCCTGGCGGGGTCTGTGGCCACCTGCTGAATGCAGGCAGTCGTGGCCCTAGTCTGCTGGCACCTTTACCCCTTTCCTCTCTGACCCTCTAAGCTGCCCGTGAGGCAGGGCTGCCCTGTCCCTGCTCCGCGCGGTGGCCTCCCTCTCCTCCATGGCTCTGCGGCCCCTCTGTCCCTTCCACACGCCGCACCCCAGCCCCCGCTGCTGGGCCTGCCTCCTGCCTGCTGGCCTGGGGATCCCGGGAGAGCTTGTAAAACAGCCCGTGACTGGGCTTGTCTCAGGGACGCTGACACGGAGCAGGGATGATCAGTCACACTCCGGGCCGCGGCAGCATTGGCCAAGAGCGTTTCCCAGCCGGCTCGAGAGCGGGCGACTTCACTCTGAGAAGGGGTGGGTGAAGGAGAGGAAAGCGGGCTGGCGCCTGTGCCCTGCGCCCCCGACACCCTGCTCGGTGGTCCTGGCCTGGCCACCCTGGCAGTGGCGCACACCGTTGGCGTGGAGGGAGTGGCTCTCCCTGGGCAGCTGGCTCAGGTCCTCCCAGGGCTGGGCAGCTCCTGCGTTTCTTGCAGACCCCTCCGCAGGAAGGGGTGCAGGCTCCCAGGCTTCCCTGTAGGTGTGCAGTGCTCCTGGCCGTGGTTTCTCTGGGACCAAACGACGAGTTCTGAAGCCAGATACCCGCCCTGTCACCCCCTCCTTTGTGGCTGCAGAGGGGGGTCGGTGGGGGTGAGGCCTGGGTGCTGGGGGAGACCTTGGGGCTGGCCTGTGTGTGGCCTCGGTCGGGGTTAGTGTGTGTGAGTGTGAGTGTGTGTACGTGGAGGCTCAGGATGGAGACTGCCTGGAGGCCCCAGGGCATGTCTGCCGACCTGGCTTGGCGGTCGGAGCTAGGCTTGCGTCTCCACTGTCCCTTCACCCTGGGGAATCCTGCGCCATCTGCCTTGGCCTTGGAGAGCCTGGGGGACCTTGAGGGCCATCTCCTTCCTGCCGTGGGGCCTCTGTCTTTGGGTCCCAGTCCCTGATCTCCTCTGTCCCTCGGTCCTGAGGGCTGGGCCAAAGTGCAGGGCAGAGCTCAGCCACGGTGGGCAGAGCTGCACCAGATGGAGCAGGGAGGGGGCAGCAGGGGTAGCGACCTCCACCTGCAAGGCATCATGGGAGCCGCGAGGGCAGCTGGGCTCCAGCGCAGCTCTGCCACCTGTGGCTTTGGGTGCTGGCTGCCCCTCTCTGGTTCCCTCGTCCTCATTTGCAGGGCTAATCCAACGGTCAAGAAAGGGGCGTGCATAGGACACATGAGGACCTGGGTTCGGTCTCTGGAACGGAGGGCGGGAGGAAAGGACGGACATGTGGCAGGCGTGGGAGAGCCATGCAGGATGACATGACGGGAAGGCTGCTGGGCCGGGAGTCACGCGCCCCTCAAGGACCTCGCCACATGTGGTGTCCAGGACTCTGCCACGCGCTGGTGCTGCTGGGGTCAGAGCTGCAGCCCCTCCCCGATGACAGGGGCGGAGCCAGGTCGGCCTGGACGAGAGCAGCTGGGAAGCCCACTATGGCCATGCCGGCGTCACCTGTAGTGGGACAGGGTTTTCTCCCTCAACACCTGCAGGCGTGGGGTGCTCCTCAGCTGGAAGGAGTGCGGGGCCCTGATTGGGGGGCCAGAGGGTGGAGCAGGGGGAGGGGCTGCTGAGCCAGGTCCCCCTTCTTGGTCCCATGGGATGGGTGTGTTGAGTCCTCCCCTTGGCCACATCAGACAGCTGAGGCCCAGGAGCCGCAGGGGTGGCCTGGCCCATGGGGGCTGCTGTTTCCACGACCCACACCACTGCTGGACCCCGCGGGGCAGCTTGGGGGCCGCCCTGGGCCCAGGTTTGGACCCACAGGGAAAAGGGGCTTTGGATTTTAGACTGAGAAAGGACTCTGGATCTTCCTGCCACCCTGGTCACCCTTGAAGGAAGGGACCCAGGCCCAGGGAGAGAAGGGGGAGCCCTGGGGTCACAGGAACGGGGCACACTTGAGAGCCCAGCCCCAGCTCCAGAGGAGGGCACTGCCGGGCCTGCTGACGGCTGACTCACTGCCTGGGGACGCTGCTGGCTTCGCAAGGCCCCGCTGTCCCCTTGGGCTCCAGGAACTGAGCTGATCCAGCCGCCCAGCCTGAGTCACCCATGCCGGTGCGCGTGCTTTGCTTTCGGCCCCATCCCTGGAGCTGGGTGGGACCTGGAGAAGCATACAGAGCTCAGGAGTCGGCCCTGGGCTGAATAATCCAGAGTGGGAAGTTGGTCAGGGTGGAGTGATGAAATCGGGGCCTGCAGTCAGCATCAGGGGCCCCACCCTGCAGCTGCATATAAAGGACCGGGCGGGCGGCACCGTCTCAGCTCCCAGCGCCTCCTCTCTCTCTGCCACTCGACCGCTGTCACAGCCTCACCCCCGTGCCGGGCACCATGACCACCTGCAGCCGCCAGCTCACCTCCTCCAGTTCCACGAAGGGCTCCTGCGGCCTGGGCGGCTCCGGCCGTGTCTCTTCCTGCCTCGGCCCCAGCACCTACGGGGGGCTGTCGGTCTCCTCTCGCTTCTCCTCCCGGGGAGCCTGCGGGATGGGGGGAGGCGCTGCCGGAGGCTTTAGCAGCAACAGCGGCTTTGGCGGAGGATATGGTGGTGGCCTTGGCGGTGGCCTTGCTGGTGGCTTTGGTGGCGTCTTCGGTGGTGGCTATGGTGGTCTTGGAGGTGGCTTTGGCGGTGGTGATGTGCTCCTCTCTGGCAACGAGAAGGTGACCATGCAGAACCTCAACGACCGCCTGGCCTCCTACCTGGACAAGGTGCGCGCCCTGGAGGCGGCCAACGCCGACCTGGAGGTGAAGATCCGCGACTGGTACCAGAGGCAGCGGCCGGCTGAGACCAAAGACTACAGCCCCTACTTCAAGACCATCGAGGACCTGAAGAGCAAGGTGGGCAGCTGTGCTGCAGAGGCCCCAGGGACCTCTTGCAGCAATTCTGTCTTACAGACAGGGAGACCGAGGTGCCTTTGGGGAGGAGCCAGGGGCCCCGCTCTAGCACCCCATGTCAGTTCTGGGGCAGGAACCCCGAACCTCACTGTACGGCACTCAGCTTGGCAGCCATGGACCGGGGTGGGTGGTGGGGACGTGGGGGACAGGGCGTCTTAGCCTCCCAGAAAGTGTGGACCTGGCTGGCCGGCTGGGCGCCCTCCAGGTCTGGGCGCTCCTTGCCCCCTCTCCACCCATCTTTGCCCTGGAGCCGCAGGGTCCTTGGTAACCCCTGTCCTTTTGTCCCATTGCAGATTGTCATGGCCACCATGGAGAATGCCCAGTCCATCCTGAAGACGGACAATGCCAGGCTGGCCGCCGACGACTTCAAGAACAAGTGAGAGGCCCTCGTGCTGGGCAGAGACAGAGGGTGGGGACCGAGGGCCAGCGGGGCTGTCTTTCCTTGGGCACGGCGAGGACCAGGCTGAGGCTCTGACTCTGTCCCAGGTACGAGCATGAGCTGAACCTGCGGCAGACAGTGGAGGCCGACATCAACGGGCTGCGCAGGGTGCTGGACGAGCTGACCCTGGCCAGGGCCGACCTGGAGATGCAGATCGAGGGCCTGAAGGAGGAGCTGGCCTTCCTGAGGAAGAACCACGAGGAGGTGGGGAGCTGCTGGCTTTGGGGGTCCAGGCTGGCTTGGAGGAGTCACCACATCCCCCCGTGCCGGAAGAGGGGTTCACCCTTCTGACTGCCCCCCGTCCCTTCCCAGGAGATGCTGGCCCTGCGCGGCCGGACTGGCGGGGACGTCAACGTGGAGGTGGACGCGGCCCCCGGCGTGGACCTGAGCCGCATCCTGAACGAGATGCGCGACCAGTACGAGCAGATGGCGGAGAAGAACCGCAGGGAGGCCGAGGCCTGGTTCCTGAGCAAGGTGGGGCCTGGGCCTCACACCCCGGGAAGGCTGCCCAGGGAGGCTCGGGGGTCCTCACGCTCCTCTCTCCTGCTCCAGACCGAGGAGCTGAACAAAGAAGTGGCCTCCAGCAGCGAGCTCATCCAGAGCGGCCGCAGCGAGATCTCGGAGCTCCGCAGGGTGTTTCAGGGTCTGGAGATCGAGCTGCAGTCCCAGCTCAGCATGGTAGGGAGTCCCGGAAAAGCCCCTGTCCCTGGAAGTGGGGCCAGAGGGACAGCAGACCCGCGCAGAGGTGGGCAAACGGAGGCCCGATGGAGGAGCCCCTCTCCCCATGTTCTTAGCGGGGAATCCTCCAGGGGGCCGGCTGACTGCCTCCTCTGACCTCCCTCTGTCCCTGCGCACAGAAAGCGTCCCTGGAGAACAGCCTGGAGGAGACCAAAGGCCGCTACTGCCTGCAGCTGTCACAGATCCAGGAGATGATCGGCAGCGTGGAGGCCCAGCTGGCCCAGCTGCGCTGCGAGATGGAGTGCAGCTCCCGCACCCCTAACGCATCCCTTCTCCCCGCAGCATCTCCGGAGGCCAGGCCTACGCTTCGCGGGAAGGTGAGCGTCTGCCTCCCCGCGGGGTGGGGACAGCTGCTCTGCCCAGAGCCCTGCTCACCTCCCTCCTCTCTCCACAGTCTTCTCCTCATCCTCACGCCAGCCCAAGCCCATCCTCAAAGAGCAGAGCTCGGCCAGCTTCAGCCATTCCCAGAGCTCCCAGAACTGAGCCGCCGCCTGCTGCCCTCGCCTGGTGTGGACCTCGATCCCCACGCAGCCCCGCTGACCTCCCCCCCCCCCGGTGCCGGGCTAATAAAGCTGCTTCTGGTTGATGCAAATGGATCTGTGTGTCTCATCCTCGAACTGAGGTGGGGTGGGGCGGTGGGGAGACCCCAAAAGCTGGGGTGCAGCAGACAGAAACAGTCTCAGAAGAGCTCGGAGGTCTGCTCCTCCTGACCTGCATCTCCCTCTTCACATGGCCCTGTGCTGTCCCCTAGGACACCCCTGCCCCTGTCTGCTGGACCCGGCACAGCCTGCCATGACTGAGGCATCCTGTGTCTGCCCAGGGACCCCGCTAACCAGACTGTGGTCCGGGCCAGGGTCAGGAGGAGAGGGGACAATGGTCAGCCCTTCTCAGCTGACTGTGTGGCCCACACCTCTCGGGCACTGTCCCTTCTTCCTGGATGCCTTCTGTATTTTAAAACTTGAAATAAAGAGTTCAGTCCCCAGCACACACACACACACACACACACACACAAAGATATAAAACACAACAACATTGTGTCTGTAGAATATCAGAACCTTTGTGCCTCTGTGTGTGTGTGTGTGTGTAGAAAGACCCATCTCCAAGCCAGGTCTCACTCCTTGTTTCCCTTTTAACTCAAGCTGTTTTTTTTGGTCTTCACCTCCTTATTTCTACATAATGGGCTCACACTACCTTTTCTGCCTTTTTCAATTGTATTTCAAACTCTTGGTGATCCTCCTGCCTCAGCCTCCTGAGTGCTGGGATGGCAGGTGTGTGCCACCATGCCTGGCTTACGTTGTAGTTTTTAATAGCTTATCCTCTTGCTCTGAAGGATGAGCATTTTGACCTCCTATATACAGCGCCGTCCCTCCTCAGTTCTGCCTTCTTTCTCTTCTTCCCATATACTTAAATGCTCATATTTTTGGTTAGAGCAATGTGTAGTGTTTACATTACTGACTGCTTCCATATTGTCACACTTAAATCAGGTTTCCTTGGAATAAATATCTCTTTTTCAATTTGCTTAGATTTTCTGTGTACCTATCATTTATTTCCTAATTCACTACTGTTGAGTACGTTCCCCCCCTTCCCCCCGCGTCTCTGAGACCAAGTCTCACCATGTAGCCCAGGCTGGCCTTGAACTTGTGATCCTTCTGCCTCATCCTCTTGAGTGCTGGGATTACAGGGCTGCACCAGCATGACTGGCTCCTCTTTTTTTTTCCTCTGTGGTACAGCATTAAGGATTGAATTCAGGGCCTTATGCATGCTAGGCAAGTGCAGATCACTGAGACACACCTATCACCCTTTTTAGTTTTTTATTTTCAGATAGGAGCTCACTAAGTTGGCCAGGCTGGCGGTGAACTTGCAATCCTCCTGCCTCAGCTTCCTGAGTGGCGAGGGTTACAGGAGTGAGCCATTGTCCCCGCTGTACACCTTCTCTCAGTGAATTAACACACTGAGTGGCCCATTGCTTAGGCTTCTTGAAGAGGCCCCTCGCGTAGCCCTCTGTCTCCTGCTCCATCTGTCCTGGATGCTCGCTGGACCTGCAGTCTACCTGTCATCCTGGAACCCTCTGCCCTCATCCTGGGCTTCACTTCTTTTTCCCATTGCTTTTTGGATCTCTGCCTCTTTAGCGGAACACACCCTCTAGCAGTTTTCCAAGAAAAGATTCACAGGGATCGACTTGTTCGAGATCTTTCATGTCTGAAAGGTCTTGACCCTGTTCGAGATAGTTTGGCTGGGTATGAAATTCTAGGCAGGCCATGGTTTCCCCTCCGGATTTAGGGTGTTGTTTCCAGCATCTTGGCATCTGGTGCTGCTATGAGAAGCTGTACAACCTTTGTGCCATCATGTTTCCACTCTGTCGCTGGAGGCTCTGAGTTCTCTCTCTGGCAGGCTGGGGCACTGTGTGCGGGACAGTGACTCAGCTAGGTCTCCATCCATCGGCTCAGACACCAGCAGGACCTGCCAGCACAGGGACGCCAGGCCTTCCTTTCTGGCCAACTGCCTTTTGCTGTGATTCTCTCCCTTCATTTTTTTTTTTCTGGAACTCTTTTTCCTTTCCTTTCATCTAAGTTGTGTTTTTTTCTACTTTTGGAGAGATTTCCCTAACTTTGCCATGGAAGCCTATTATTTAAGAGTTTAAAAAAACCTTCTGGATTTTTAACATTCCAGAGTTCTGAATATTTTTCAACAGTCATTTGTTCCTGCTTTTTTTTTTTTCCTGGTACCGGGGATCAAACTCAGAACCTTACGCTTGCAAGGCAGGCAGCAAAACCACTGAGCTAAATCCCCGGCCCTCTTTGTTCCTGTTTTAAAATGGTTATGCTTTCCCTCATGTCTCTCAGCCTTTTACTCGTGGCTCTGACAGTCCTGTATTTATTGTCATCTCAGTTTCCTTTGAGTCCTATTTGTCCTGTTTGTGTTTTACTTTCTCCATGTTTTCCTTTTTCCTTTTTTGTACTAGAGATTGGACCCAGGGCCTTCGCCTTGAGTTACCTCGCTCATTCTTATTTTTCAACTAGATACAGGGTCTTGCTAGTTGCTGGGTTGCCAAGGCTGGGCTTAAACTTTCTATCCTTCTGCCTCAGCCTCCCAGGGTGTTGCCTGCATCTTTTATGTCAGAATTTCTCCTCGAATGTTCGGTGATTCTTGGTAGTTGTTCATGGTTAAGATGAAGGAAATGACTCTGTGTGTGTGTGTGTGTGTGTGTGTGTGTGTGTGTGTGTGTGGTAAGAAGGCTTGTCCTGGTGGGTCTTACATGGAAATCTAGAATAATCAGGTGGGGAATTGGCTCTTTCACTGGAGGAAACCAGGTGTGGGTCCCTGTAGGTCTTTTCACCTGGGTGGTTTCTTCCTCAGAGTGGATGCTTCACTTTGCTGTCCAGAGGGTGAAGCTGCTTGTCCCCTGGAAGATGTGTGGAGGACAGGGGCTCAGTTAACCTCCTGACGGAGGATTTCCGAGTATTAACTCACCCTCAGTCCTGCTTGGGGTCTCTGGCTCAGTCCCTTGGGATGCGTCCTTCAGATTAAACCTCCAGTCTCTCCTGGGCCCAAGGGGAGCTGGCTGGCCCGGAGCAGATGGGAAGAGGAGGGAGGAACTAAGCAGCCCCGCTGGCTTCTGATCCCCGGTGCCCTGGCTCTGTGACCTTCCAGGCTTCTGATGTGTGATCTGCTGGACTCCCGGCCTCCCTCTGGGAAACCAGACTTTTCCTTGTGTCTTTCACACTCCAACATTTTGCTGCTGTAGTCTCCTTCTTGCCCTGTCCACATGGATTTTATCCATTCCCAGGGATTTTAGTTGGGTCAGCAAGTGGAGCCAGACCTCACAGTCAGCCTGCCAGTCTAACCTGAAGCCCTTCCCTGCCTGACGTGGTGAAATTATACTCATCCTTCAAGGCTGCCGAGCCTGATTCATCATGTTACAATGGAGGGCCATTGTTGATTGTTCAGCAGACAGGTCTCGCTCTGTGATAGGCACCCGCGTCCCCCAGACACCAGGGTGAACCCATGACTCAAACCGAATCCCAGATCTCAGCATACCTGGTATCTGCTGTTGTGCTGGGGCGAGGTTCTTGTTCATAAGGCTGGCCTTGAACTCACTCTCCTGCCTCAGCCTTCTGAGCTCTGAAATTACAGATGTGGGCCACCGTGTGCTTCCATCTGTACTACAATTACGAGTGCAGTTACTTTGAATGTCTACCCCTTTTTGCATTCAATGCTTTAGTGCTGGGGATCACACGGGAGCCTTGCACGGTGCTGGAACAGTGCTCTGTCCTGAGCTCCACCTCCAGCCTCAAGTTTTTATTAACAGTAGAAGAGAAATCATCTCTTGTTTTATTAAAAGCAGCGAACATCTTTCTGACTAACACTTTCCCAGTGCATTTGGGTGATCTCCCTAGGCTAAACTCCGGGGTGTATAATTATTAGGGGAGAGAATATAAATGTTTTAGGGCTCTGGGTCTGTACTGCCAAACTGATTTGAGAAGTCCTGCCTGTCTGCATAATTTCCCAGTGGGAATGGGTGCGTCCCGGGCATGGGGCATTGTCTTTCCAGCAGCTTTGTCAGTGGATTCATCTTTCACTCTTTTTGTTTGTTTTTTGAGACAGGGTCTCACTATGTAGTCGAGACTGACCTGGAACTCACTGTGTAGCCCAGGCTGGACTTGAACTCCCAGCGATCCTCCTGCCTCAGCCTTCTGACTGCTGGGATTAGAGGCACGCTCCACCACGCCTGTCTACTTTTAGCCTTTTGAGGATTCTCAAGAGTCTGAACTTCTGATCTTCCTGCCTCAGCCTCCCAGAGTGCTGGGCTTCCAGGCACCGCCACCACACCTGGTTTCATTGCTATTATCTTAATGAAGACACAGAACATTTCACAACTTCTTTTATAGGACAGCATCCAAGCAGGAATGTGTTTCCTTTCTAGAAGGGCACCAGCTTTTCCATCTGGAGACGCCTTTGCCTGAATTTCTCAAATTTAAGATTCACCCCGACCAATCCAGGCTGCTTTTGGTCCTGGCCGCCTTTCCCATCCCCTCTGATGTAAGTCAGCTCAGACTTTATCTTGAACACACCCTCAAATTCCTCACGCTGGAGCGGTGTCCACGGTAGGTGAGATTTGATTTTAAGTCACTGCGTCCAGTGCTGAAACATGAGCAGAGATAAAGCCAGCTGTAAAGCGCATCTGCTGATGTCAATGAATCAGTGTGGGGGCTGTGAGGTTTTGCTCTCTTTGGGCCCATTGTTTTCTAGCCTGTAAAAGGCTGGCTTCTGGGCGTTGGAGATTTGCCACTGCTGTGCCGCCTCCCCGGCTCAGGACCTTCTGGCGGCTCTAGGAAAGACAAACAGCTGAAACCTGTTTTGCTCGGCCCAGCACAGCAGCCCTTTAGTCTCCGCACGCGTGCTGCTGGTGGAGCTGCCAGGAGCAGGGCTGGACTGGGATCCCACTCCTCCAGGTCGCACGGAGCTGTCCGGGCCTCCTCGCCTGCCTTCCCTAAGGCACCACCTGTTAGTGCGTGTCCCAGTGCAGGAGGAGGGTGGCGTGGCCAAGGGCTCAGTTGTGCAGGAGGGGCTCCCATTTCCACCCTCACCTGTTCACGCTGCCGGCTGCAGGGGGTCCTCTTTGTCTTCCAGGCAGCATGATTCCCCAGGAACTGATGCCTTCCTTCCCGCCTAGCTTTTATGGATCACAAGAACAATGTGACAACTAAAGAAAAAACAGAAAAGGAAAGCAGGTGTCCATTGTTCCAGCCCCTGAGTTTCTTTCTCCTAGGCCACATTCCAGCCTCATTATGTACAAATGTATAGCAAGAGTCAGGTGTACTTCTGCACGCCTGTGATCCCAGCACTTGGGAGGCTGAGGCAGGAGGGTCTCAGCAAGTTCAAGGTCAACCTGGGCTACACAGTGAGTTCAAGGCCAGACTGAACTACAAAGTGAGACCCTGTCTCAAACAAACAAACAAGGAAGCAAACAAACTGTACTGCAAAGGTGATCTTCAAATTATTTAAGGGGCCTCATTTAACACCCCAGTAACAGAAGTAAAAGGCCAGTGTAAAGGGTCTACATGCAAGGGTATTTACTGCTATGTCATTCATACAGACAGAAAATGGAAAAAAACTCAACCACAAAAAGAAAAAAAAGAAAATGGAAAACAAAGCTTTTTTGGTAGTGTATGGGTTGTAGAAATCACGACTCCTACGATGAAATATTAAGTGACCGTCACGGTCCCCAAATTGGACTTATGTCAGGGCTTAGGGGGCTTCTCCAGGTTGTAGGGAGAGAGAAACACATGAGCACTGCAAGATAACCAGTCCCTTCTGCCTCATTTGTGCAAATGTGTGTAGTGTGTGTGACACGATATTGTGCACCAGGAGTAGGAGGCACGGCGTGAATTCACCCACTCTCTCTTTCTCTGTTTGGTCTTTGGAGACAGGGTCTTGCTGTGTAATTCAGTGGCCCTGAACTCACTTTGTAGCCCAGGCTGGCCTTGAACTCACAGCCATCCTCCTGCCTCAGCCTCCCGAGGGCTGGGGTGTGTGAATCTCTTAACATAGGTCACCCTGGGGTGGGGTGGGGTGGGGTGAGGCTGGGCCGAGTGATGGGGGGCAGACAGAGGGGATGAGGGAACCCTAACACAGAAAAGGAAGAAACCGGATTACACAATCTTATATCCACACTCAAAACTGCATGTACGACTATGAGTGCAGAAATCAAACAAAGCACCAGGGAGTCAGTTAATTTGTCCTGAATTCCAGCCACATGCACTTCGTAATTAACGACACATTGGGCGTATTACTCTTCTGGCCTGTTGGTGTGATATTTCGTAGCATAGATTTTAAATTTGCTTTGTGCTCGGATGATAATATGATCACACAAATTAAGAGATAACCAAAAGTGTGTACAAGGAGCACGGGGAGAGCTGGATTGTGGGAAACAGGGAGAGAGGCCTTTTGCACGCGGGAAGAGGGGGCAGGGCGAGGGGCCCAGAGCATGAGGCTGCGACCTGCGCATGCGCGGATTCTGCCCCGGCTGCAACCGCTGTTACGGCAAACCTGTACTAGTGCAAGATTTTAAAAGTTATAACCACAATTAAACAGTGGCAGTAGGATGGTAGACCCTTGCGGACGGTAGCAGACTCTCAGGAAGAGGTTCAAGGCCAACCTGGGTTAGACTCTCTTCCTCCTTTCTCTCCCCCGCCCTTCTCTTCTTTTTTCTTCCTTCCCCAGTATTGGGGATTGAACCTTGGGAGCGCGGAGACTCAAACCCAGTCCTTTTCTGCTGTTTTACTCTGAGACACAGTCTCTTTCAGTCCCCCAGGCTGGCCTTGAACTTGCGATCCTCCTGCCTCAGCCTCCCCAGTGGCTAGGATTACAGGTGAGGGCCACTGAACCTGGCTGGGGTTGGACTTGAACTCGGGCTGACTCCATCACCTCTCTGAGTCTCAGTTTCCCGTCCGTAAACTCTGAGGGCGTCCGTGTGAGGGTCGGGGGTGGGGGACGGTTGGAGCACAACGTGGGGGCCCAGTGGGTGCTGTCCGCTCCTTCGCAGCCCTTCTGCCGGGTTCCCTGGGGCCCAGCCTGCCCCAGCCTCCGGGCTTGGACAGCTGTGCTCACTGCCCAGCGCTCCCAGCTCCCGCCCCAGACTTCTCCCACGCCACAGGGGTTAAACCGAGGCTGGGGAGACGGACCCACTGGGGGGGACGCGCTGGGCTGCAGCGGTTAACGGGAGCACAGGGATGGCGCCCCGTTCCCCTGGCCCCGCTGTGGGTGCAGCAGACTCTGCCATGCTCCCCGGGGCCCCTTCCTCCCCAGCCCCTCTTCTCTCACAGCCTCCCTCGGCTTTCGCATCCCTTGGCCCCAGAACCCACACAGGACAGAGGACACGCGTCCCGCCTTGTCTCGCTTCCCCCCGACCCAGTTCCACCCTGCACTCGGTCTCCTCCGGGCTGACTCCGGTCTCAGGCTCTCAGGAGCCGCGACCTGAGAACCTGGGGTGCAGTGTCCCAGAGGGAGGCTGCACCCTGAAGCCGGGCAGCCTGGTTCTGCTGTCCCGTGACCATCACGGTGGCCTCCTCGGCCTCCTCAGCGTCCTGCCCTCCTGTCCCCCAGGACGGCCACCACTGTCACCTCCACCCACCCGGCCTGCTGTTGACAGCTGGGACTTCAGGCCCATGGCAAGGAGGATCAGGCTTAGACCCAGAGAGCCGGAGGTGATGTTTCAGGAATTCTGCAAGCTAATTGGCAAACGCAGCTGGTGATAATGGTGTTCTTGTGGTTAGTTGTGACTTTATGTTTGAATTTATTTTTTGGTACTGGGGATGGAACCCAAAGGCTTTTTTTTTTTTTTTTTTTTTTTTT